GTTGTGGGCCAGGTCCCCAGTAGGGGGTGCATGAGAGGCAACCACACACTGATGTTTCTCTCCCTCTCGTTCTCCTTCCCTTCCCCTCGCTCTAAAAATAAATAGAATCTTAAAAAAAGAAAAAGAATGCCCTATATACATCCAATCCATCAAAGATTATAGAGACTATCCAACTCCCCACAGTCACCCCGTGAGGCGGCCGAAATAAATCCTCCCCGGTCTGCTGAGAACGAACCAGCCTCAGAGGCCCCGGAGGTGGTCCAAGGTCACAGGCTCAGACGTGCAGAAACCAGGACTCAACCCCCAGGCCCCTGACTTCAAAGGTAGCTCAGTGGCTTTCTCTGGGGGGTCAGGGGGCAGCACCCTCAGGATGAGAAAGGCGGCAACCGCAGGGCCTGGACCAGAGAGGCAGCGTGGGAGGTGGCTGGCGGGAAATGGGCACGTGGTCACCAGCAGGAGGGCAAGAAAGGAAAGGGCACAGAGGCTCCCCGGTTAGGCAGTGAGTTCTTATTTTAAACCCACCATGTGGCCAGCCATGCCAGAGAGACCACGGGACTCTGGGATCTCTTCAGAGTCTTTATTCAGCAGAGAAGAAGACTTATTTTCAATAGAACAGGTCCTGGTCTCCAGGTTACTTAGGGATCGCTTGGCTGCATTACATTAAAAAGCAACCCCAAAGTCTGACCTAGGGCCCTCAAACTCCCTAATTCTTTGTACCCCTCTTTGTTAAGGGTTCTTAACAGTTAGAACCCTTCCTAACTGTTAAGCCAACTTAGGGAGCATTTTAAAACTATTGATCCCTTATTATGTGGCCAGCCTTTCACTGTGCTAAGCATTTCACTTGCTTTATCTCATTACCGACACAGACCTGTGAGAGATTGTTACCCTCACTTCCTGATGCAGAACCTGAGGCTTACAGAACGCAAATGACTTGCCCAAGGTCACCTTGCTAGTAAGAGGCAGAGCCATGATTCAGACCAGGTATGTCCAACTCCACAGTCAAATCTGCACACACGCGTAGGTCACTGAACTTGAGGTAGGTCATTTGAGTTTGCACCCCACCTCTGCCACTATGAACCGTAGGACCTCATGCAAGTCACTTCCTCCAACGGGGATAAAAGCACCTGTTTTACCAGTGGGGATCCAGCAAAAATGTGAAAATTCTGTTCTCTACAGTACTTCTTGGGTGCTAGCGGTGACGGCTACTACCACCCCTCTTCTCACTTTGCACAGGCATGAAGAAATGGCTACAAACATAAAGTCAGACACTGTCTGTGTCCTTTCTTCTCTTCTGGGTCGATTAGCAACATGTGGGAGGGTGGGGAGCATTATTTTGCACGGTGCCTGGCATTAGCACCAGGAGGATGTGCCCCAAGGATTTATTTAATCAAAACTTAGTTTTAATGAATTAATCGGGCAGCCCCTCAGTTACGGGCATGACCCTGGTCCGGGATAAGAACAGACAAGGAGACTCCCCACTGACTGTTGAGGATTCAACAAGTGTGGCCCTCCCGAGGTTTCCGAGCCCATAGAACTCCTACTTCAGGACCAGAGCTACGGAGCCGCTGGGTCCTGGCACCCCGTCACCTCTCGCTGTGATGCGGTTGATGCCGCCAGGACACATGCTAATGGGCTAAAGTAATCAACAGCCATTTTAATTGCAGTTGGACATAATTAATTCAAAACCTTTGAGCCATTCAAAATTAATACCTCTGCCATTACATGATGAGACAAATGAAGAATTACTGTCAAGGCGTGGGTGTGAGTAAAACCCTCCTGGGCGCTTGGCAGAGACTTGGGTCCCTTCAAAACCCACGTGCTAAGGTGGGCCCTCGGGGCTCCCACTGGTGACGGTTACAACATACGCAGGCAGCCCAGACATGGAAGCTGAGGATGTCCCCAGCTGTCAAAGAATAAACACTCCCTGGGTGCCTGTGTCCCTGCAGACACTCACGTGCCTGGAGTCCCTTCTCTCCCCGGTGGCTGTCTGTGACATATGCAGGAGTTGCATTGCATAGAGTTGATCCTGTTCCCCAGCGAAAGGGTTCCAAAGCCATTGCACAGTACCCGCCCCATCACACATGGAGAAACTGAGGCACAGAGGAGGCCACTAGCCCAAGCTCACACCACTACTATGTAACTCGAAGGAAAGTAGCACCGTTTTCTTCCCGTGAGACAGGAAAGATAGTTTTCTGGGGAACCTGCAGGATAAAGCACTGGGCTGAAATGTTTAATCCAGTATTCTGCACCCGCCCTGCTGTTTCTGTGAGCTGTTTGTCTCTACCGTGGTGTTCCCTGCCCGTTCTCTCCAGTACCGGAGAAAGGAGCTGGCATTGAGCACAAGTATTTGCCAGGCTGGGCACAGGGCTCACCTACTCTTGTTAAAGTCTCTCGGTAACTCTGAAGGAGAGTAAGCTGGCCCCATTTTACAGAGGAACGCTGAGGCCCCGAGGTGTTATATCCGACAAAAAGACAGAACCACTCTTTCTGATTCCAAAGCCCACACTCTGTCCTCAGCACGACCCCACCTCACCCCCTGAGGCTGCCCCCGCCCCTCGGTCAGTCCAGGGGAGAGACCCCGATCCCCCGCGAGGTGGGGGGAAAGGCCGCACTCCCTCTTCCTGCTTCCCAACCGCGTCAGAACCCTCGTCCCTCGCTGCTTTTTTAATACAGTGTTTATTGTTTTTTCTGATTACAGAAGTGCTCCGTGTTTATTATGGAGCATTAGGAAAATGCAGGAAGGAATGAAGAAGAAAATTGAAATCGCCCGCAGTCTCAGTCCCCAAAGATAACCCCTGTTACCACGTCACGACATTTCCTTCCAGACAGATACATGTAGATTTGCACAGAGCGACAGATGAACAGTGTATCCATTTAGGATCACACCCCATACGATTATATTTTTCTATATCAATATCCTTCTTTATAAGCATGCTTTTTTAACAGCTGTAGGCCCTAAATTTATTGTATTGTTTTTGTTCTAGTTGTCAAAAGTAATAGATGTCCATTGTAAAAAATTTCAAAAAGACCAAAAAGGGAAAAAAAAATACCTGTAACTCTATAACCTCACCAGCCAGCAATCCCACGGTTATTATTTTTATACAAAACTGTCATGTTCTCTTGCTGGGTTTTTACCGAGGGGGCATGTGGACGTCCCCGCTGGGTGTCCTCGGCCTCTGGTGTGACGCCTCAGAAAGACAGAGGCGTGGGGCGCCGTCGTTTTCAGAAAGGATCCGAATCTTTTATCTCCTGCCTGGCCAGGAATCTGGCAATTCTTAAGCCTCCGTAATTGCAAGTATTTGCCAGTTTATTTGATTTGCCTGTTATCAAAAATCTGCATCTGGCCTGCTTCTTGCTGTGTGGGGTTGATTTTTCACTAGGCTATTTATAGCTAGAGTGGCGGTGTTCGGTTTTTCCAGGTGAATCAGGAGACGGAAAACAACGGTTTTACAGTGAGTCAGTCAATACTCTCCAAGTTAGTGAGAGGCCATGTTGAACTCAGAGAGCTTTTAAAAAATGGCAAGTCCACACCTGTGGCACCTTAGGTCGGGAAGGATTCTTAACGTTCATTCAGAGCTTGGTAGTCCCTGGTGATGACCCCAGTCCTGGCTGTTTGGCAGTGACTGGATGTGGGGAATACCAGAACTGCCCACCATCCGTCTCAAGCAAGCACGTCTTTGAGTATCTCTGTCTGTCTGAAAACATGTCTTTAGTCGAAGTGAAGTACACAGTGGAGCATCTACCCTCCGTTCCGACTCCTCTGCGGGAATTCACGCAGCCTGCCAGAAACTCGAGGAGAGACAGTGCCTCCCCTGCATGGCGTTTCCTGCATTTGGGGTGCATGCAGAACAGACATTATTTGATGTCTTTGATTCTCTTTTGTCCAACTGCAGCCTAAATTCCTCCCTGATATTTTTTACGGGCTCAAGAGATTGTCGTGAAGTTGCCACGAGGTATGCATAGCAACCACGGGGCATGTCTGACATAAAATTGCAGTGATTACCTCTGGGGGAGGAAGGGCCATGGGAGAAATAATAGCATCGGGCCCAGCCACAGTGCTGCTTCTGCTCTACATTCAGAACTTTAATTAATAAAATGACAAACACTGGTAGCACGTAACTGGAGCGTCTGTCGGGCCCCAGTGAGAGAGGGAGGGGCAAGGCCCTGGGCCAGGGCAGCTGGGGCCAGCAGGGAGAGCTGCCGTTGGTGCACTCCTGCTGACGCCTCTTCCCACCGGTCTCGTGTGCTGCCTGCTCGGAAAGGGGTTTATTAGCCCAAAGCTGTCATTCGTGACCTACATGTGTCTGGGCATGTCTAGCAGGGTCAAAAATTTTATTGTTACAAGCCCCAGCAAGTGTTGTTTCTCGAAAACATTATTTATGATTTACATAAGATTTCCCATATTTGTGTGAATACTCTTCCCGTATTTGTGTAATACACACACACACACACACACACACACACGCACGCACGCACATACATATAGGACTATTAACTGTTTGGCAGAGACAGTGGTTATAAATGGTTTAAGACCCACGATCTCCCTGGGTCTCCCAAGGTGAAGGTACCTCTGGGAGAAGCCCTCATTAACAGGTCATGAGGGCAGGCCTGAGGCCCTGCAGTTCTGACAGGCTCCCGGGTCATGCCAGCACGGTGGGTCCGCAGGCCGCACTCCGAGCAACAGGATCTGGAAAACCTCCACGACACACCCCAAAGATTTAAGTGTGAACTGCTGCAATGTGTTACGTGTCCACAGCACGATGGACTCGGTAGAAGGAGCGTAGGACGTAGTGTGGCATCCAGGCCTGCAGCGTATGAACTTAGCGACTGTGGGTGGCTGAGTTCACCTGTCTGAGCTTCGATTCCACATCTGGAAGACGAGTGTGAATACCTACGCTCGTGGCGAACATAAAGCGAGACAGCATGCGTGCGAGTACCGAGCACAGCTCTCTAGTCGTCAGTAAACAGTCAGTTACTTTATTCGATAAGCCCCCCAGATAGCAATGGGTCTCACTGAGATCAAATTCCAAGAGTGTGTTTGCCCACTCTGGGCACCCGAACAGTGACTCTCCAGGTCCAGCCAGGTCCACCTGGCGAGGGCACCCACACATAGCGCTGTCCGGGGACTCCTGACCCTGGGAAAATGGAAGCCTGTGACAGGGGCTTGAGCCAGGCTCTGCTCTGGGAACCACGGAGAGGTGCTCTATTCATTCAGATACAAGTAATCAGTGAGAGATGTTCCGTAGGAATGGATATCAGTCAGTCCTCCGGTTCTTCTAACGGAGAGATTGGCGAGGGCCACACACGGGAGGTCCAGGAGGACCCTCCTGGTCCTGTCTGCGCTCTCTTGGGTCGTCCCCGCTCACCCCCAGCCCAGGGCTCTCTTGCTCTCCAGGCTGCTCTCATCCTTCGCCCGGGGCCTGTGTGGCAGCCACGTAAAGGCCTCCAGATGGGGGCCGTGTCCTCCCCGCTGCAGGAAAAATGCTCCTCCTGCACCTTGGCCGCGGTGGGCGCATTTTAAGCCACACTTTTAGTCATTAAGAATTGCATCTTACTCAAGTCCGAGGTGAGATGGGCCCCTCGCTGAGAAGGCCAGGCTCCCTCCCGCTCTAAGTAGCCCGTCTCCCCAGTGGTCACAGCTCCGGCTGCACTTTAGAATCTCCTGGAGAGACGTGAAAAACTGCTGTTGCCAAGGCCAATTAAATCCAAATCTCTGGGAGCCCAGACCTGGGTTTCCCAGGGGATGCTAACTTGCAGCCCGGGCTGGACACCGCCAGTGTAACCATTTCATGCAACCTGTGAGCTCTGCTGCCACGCCGGTCGCCGCACTCAGTCTTTAGAACCACATTCTGAGCAGGCAGGGCAGGTCTCACAAATTCGTCTGTAAGAAAATAGAGGCTCAGAAAAGGCGAGTGGTTGGCTTAAAGTCACACAGTTAATTCCCTTTGGCCCTGGAGCCTAAACTCCAAGTTATCCCATAGCCAACAGACAGGAAAACAGGGCTGGTCAGGCGAACCACTGGAGAACGGATGACGGTACAGAGGGGAGTTGCTTCCGGTGCGTTCTAGAAAGGAAGCATGGCGCCAGAGGCTGCTGCCTCCCAGTTTCTCTGCAGATTCTGATGTAATGGGTCTGGGGCCGGGCCGGGGACTCTTATGAGTGTCCAGGTGACACTGATGACACCAGCCTAAAGATCAGACTCTGAACAGTGGAGCACTGGCCGAGCCATAGCGGCAGACTCCGGAGTCACCGGGGATGACTGCAGGGGAGAGGTGGGCCACGCGAAGGCCTGTGTGCAAGCTTGAGGGGTATCCCATCTGCCTGGATGCATCTCCTTGCCACACACTTAGTGGGTGAAAAAAAAAAGACCAAGAAAAAACTTTGCTGGCCACTTGCTGGCTGCCACTGTGATACCTTCCCCCAAACCTTTCGTATCTGTTTCTAGAGCTAGACATTGCTGAATCTCAAACAATGCACTCCTCGTCTTCAGTCTGGCTGTAGATATGTTTTCTGCTATAAACATAGGTGAGAGTAGTATAAGAAGAAATGAAACTCAACTGTTTAATTTTCCTATTTCTCCATAGCACTGAACAGTTGGGTCAAGTGGCCGTCTGGACCCAAGTCCTGAGCGTGTGTCAAGTGTCGTGACTCTCTGTGTCTTATGTCTTCACTTTTGAGTGACTTTTAGTGCTTCTCCTTCTGCTACACTCATTTAAATTCAGACCTCCTGGCTAGAAGCTAAGCATCCTGGGGCAGGGGGAAACATGCGTAACGCACGCACAGAACAGCTCTGCAGTGAACGCTTGTCGAATGGAGGCACGACTGTCTCCCACAAGCACTGACACCAAGAGGGATTCCATCAAGCCTCCTCAAAAGCTGAGGAAGCCATTCTTGTTCCACTGTTCCCCCAGTGGGCCGGCCTAAAATACGCAGTGCAGGAAGACGGAGAAAGTTCAGTGAGCCGGTCCATGTCCCCTGTGCTGACGTGACGAGGCTGCATCTCACCAGCAGGCTCACGGCGCCAGCAGACTCTGCCTCGACCTGAAAGACTCCTGAGAGCAGCTGAGAACGGGGCGGTGTTGACTGTCGCCGCCAGTCGGCTGTGAAGCGGGTGGAAACTCTCCCCTTTCCTGGAGCCTGGCCCCTGGGACGCAGGACAGCTCCACGGAGCTTCACGGGATGGAAAGTCGGCTCCCGGCCCTGAGAGGGCCTTGTACAGACAGGAGGGTCTTCTGGTGAGTGTGTACACGTGTACACACCCAGTCTGCCACGGGGAGCTGCTGCGCGTGCCCTCACTTGACAGCCACTGCGAACTCAAGATGGGGAAGGCAGCCCCCTGCCTTGAAGGAGCTTGTGGTCCAGGGGATGGAGGGCACAGAGGGGAGACAAGGACACAGAACTGGGCCCTGCAATGGTCCCAGAGGCCTCAGTTATAAGATTTCAGAGGAGACGGACATAATGTCTGAGATGGGCGATGATAAAAGGCTCCCTGGAAAGAAAGTAGGTTCAATCTCTTTGAAGTGGAGAGAAGGGCAGCAGAAATGGAAGAATTAAAAGCAAGAATCAGAAAAATGCAGGGTGGTTACAAAGCTGACCGGGGGCTGGAGGGGGGTCTAGGAAGCAACATTCATTGCGTCCCCCCGTGTGGACGACTGGGCGAAGGCGGGCAGAGCCCACTGCCTCTCCGGTTGCTCTAAGGTGGTACACTCGGTTCTTCAGTCACTTCGAAACACACAGCACAGGCTTACTGAGAAACCCACATGCCCCGCCGGTCTAAATTTCAAACTTTCTCTCAAGTCGGGGCTCCTTCCCTCCCCCTTCACCACCCCCATCACAGTCGCTGCAGAAGGAAAGCCTGAAACCCGGGAAAAGTGGCCATTGGTCCCTCCCCTTCTTGGCCCAGCTCTCTCCTCCCCTGCGCCTTGCTAACCTCTGGCCTTGCAAGGCCTTAAGCACAGGGCGGGAGAAGAGGTTCAGGGAGCAGCAGAGTTCTTACTTGCCCGGGACTCTTGTGGTCAACGTAGCTGGCACCAGTATGCTCTGAGTGTGACAAATGCAGGGGACACTGTGTGCTCTCTTTGGAGAGCTGCCTTTGTCCTCACCCACTCCATGATGGCTGGGAATGTTTGGCCCTGACTAGGACATATGTACCTCCAGTCCAGGTGGTCACTTACTCCTTCCTCTACCCTTGGGCATCCCGAGATACCTGTAGCTTCTTTCTGCTGAGTGCTGTCCACCCCTCCGGGCAGCCCTCTCAGACAAGATCTAAAATGAGTGAAACAACTCACAGGCACCCCCTGTCTGTGGCTCACTCTGGCTCACTCTGGGCAGCGCTCCTGCACGTGTTTGCCTCTGCAGACTCTGGCGGGGCGGGCCCCCAGTGCTGCCGCTTCTCCTCCGCTCCACCAGCAGAGCAGCTGCCCTGCCCCTCGTTGGTACTTCGGTTTTTCCAGGCAGGAGCCAGGCGCTAGCTCGCTGCGCTCCCCAGACCGCAGGGGCGGCTCTCAGTTGCTCCCTGCGCTGTGCTGTCATCAAAACCCCTCTCTCTCTTGACTCGGGATGCAGAGGGGCCCTTCTCCGGGGAAGGGGGAGGTGAGGCGTATGTACCAAAAGCACATTCCTGACAGTCAGCCACCAGCTTTTTATGTCCAAAGTATGGATGAGGGATTGAGGGTTATGCGACTTGTTTGCATCCACCTGTCGTGAACGTTCTGTACCACCACGCTCTCAGACCTCCTCTGAAACGTAGGGTCTAGTGCCTCGGGGCTTCGGCCAAAATTCCTTTTTTACCTTCTGTTACACTATTTATTATCTAAGCATCATGCGAACACTATAAGGGAGATAAACCTATTCCCACCTTAGAGACTAGAGAACTGAGCTTCAAAATGGCGATGTGGCGAGGACTCGTTCCGAATCCCGGGCTCTCTGACGCTAGAGCGCTTGGGCCGTTCTAGAATGGAGGACGCACGTGCCTCAGCACAAATCCTCACTAAATATTCATTAAATGAATAAAAAGGTGACTTGCTTAGCTTATGGAGGAATGTGAGTGCCTTGATCATAACTGATAGGGAGCGAGAAACCACTGAGGAATCACAGACGGTGATGATGACGGGGAAGATGTGATGGACACCCACGCGAGTTGGAAGGGAGGAAGGGTGGAGAGAGAAGGGCGCTTCAGGAGGCTATGGCAGAGTTCACAGGGCAAGGTGTCAAGGACATGGCGAGTGCCCCCTTGTGGGAGTGGTGAGGATGAAAACTGAAGAGAGGCTGGGTGACAAGGAAGGAGAAGCAGCAGGCACGCGCCAGCTACCCCAGGTGTAACATCTGAGTGGAGGTGCAGGAGCAGGTTGCAAACCAGAGGAGCTGGCGGGATCAAATGAAGGACAGCTCTCCAGGATGGGTGAAAGCTTATCTTATTTCTAGACAGAGAAGCAAGAAGGCAGAGACTCTGAAGGGGCGGGAGAAAGGAGGAGAAAGAACCGAGGGAACAAGGACTAGGGGGAGGTGAACCGATATGGGTTCACATGGAAGAAAATGAAGGACCCACCTTCCTCTAAGACAGGAAAGGAAGAGACACACTGGAAAAAGAGGAAGAAGAGGCTGAGGGAGATGACACTTGGAAGAGTGCGTGTCATCAGTAAAGTGGGAATCCGAATAAGGAATTGGGAGTTGAGGACCAAGAGGGGACAGCACCTGTGTTTGAGCAGGAGTTGCAACACCCATGGCACTACATGTGTTTAGGAATCAACTGTGGAAACCAACGGCGGGTGACTAAATGCCACCAACCATCCAGGGCACTGAAGTTCAACAGACTGATTTCACAGAAGCCCAAATTAGCAATATTCTGTGGCCAAGAAGCAAAAGGAGAGAAAGCATGTGGCAAGCATTATCTCCAGCTGGGCACAGCAGGGCATGGGCTCAGGGCTGAGAGGGTTTAGTTTGCAAGGTTAGGATTAAAATTTCCAGTCATTAAGTCCAGATTGCACCAGAAAGCCAAGTGGGGCCAGAAAAAAAATGAACAGTTTTGCTAAATGATGCTGAGAGCTCTCCGTGGAGACAACAATTTGCCACCTGCATTTGGGGAAATGGGAAAGGTATGCGTGAAGAGGTGAAGGTCAGGCTTACCTGACTCGGGGTCTCAGAAGTGGAACAGCGCTCGGGCACCCCAATGCTGGTTTGGCCTGGTTGGTGAAGGGGTCATATGCAACGTAATGGGAAGTCTTGGGCTGAAGTGCCTCGTGGTAAGTAGTCTTTCTGGTCAAACCACAAGACAACCATGAGCTCAGGGACTGGGAGACAGAGTATTAATATCAGCACTTTACAAAGAAAAAGAACGTCTTCAAACAATAAGAATCAGGAAAAAAGTGGGCACTATAGCTGATGAGAATTCCAACTTGAATAGGATGTATTTGCTTCACTTTCTATAACAGCCACTTTTTTCTTGTAGGGTCTGAACAGGACTGTTTTGGTCAGTGCTCGCTGCAGTTGTCCTAAGTTCTAAATGTTGTTTATAGATTGTTTCTATCACACATACAGCCTCTACCCCTTTAAACACAAAGATGAGAGACCTTGTTTATGGTGTGCACTGCCTGTGGGCATGACTGTGCTTAAACCGTCTCGGCCCTGGCTGGTGCGGCTTAGTGCCCTCAGTGCGGCCTGTGAACAGAAAAGTCGCCGGTTCAATCTGCTGTCCGGGTTGCGGGCCGGGTCCTCGGTTGGGGGCATGCCTCACACATTGATGTTTCTCTCCCTCTCTTTCTTCCTCCCCCTCCTCTCTCTGAAAATAAATAAATAAATAAACAGGGATCTTTTTAAAAATACAACCTCTTCTCCTTTAAACACCAAGATCAGAGACCTTGTTTATAGTGTGCACCACTTCTGGGCATGCCTGTGCTTCGACTCTCTTAGAAATATCATCTGCATTTCCCTTTCGCGTGCCTAAGGACTGATGCCACAGGAACTTGTAATGAATACACACTGACTACACGATTGTGGCTTTCTTTTGGCAAAGCGGGCATTCTCAGTCTGAAAGACAACCATATTGAAGGATCTTAAGGTACACACTTTTGTCTCACCTTTGCCTGCCAGTGGCCACGGGTATCAAGTCACAGGGTCTTTAGTTAGCTAACACATGACGTGGTTCCCTTTGAATAACATGGTAGCCTCTTTGGGGAAGAAACTTTAAAAATCTGTGACACTCACATCACTAAAAGAAACCGAGTCACAAAATCACTTGCCCAAAGTCACGAGTGAATCGGGGCCACAGACCAGAATGTGCGGGTCCTCTCCAGGAAGTTCATTTCATGCCCCCATTGGTCTCGATGTCACCTCAGGGCAGAATCCCATGAAATTTAGCATGATGACATCAACCCAACCAGGTTCCAAAACTGCCCCTCGGTCGCCCCCGCCCAGCCCGCTGAACCTGACTGTAAGCCCTTTGGGAGACAGGAGGCAAGATCAGCCACCAGGCATCCGGCCCTCCTCACTGGGCAGACCTTTCGGCCCCGTCTCCAGCAAGATCTCTGGGGTTGAGAGCTTCAGAAAGGGGCCTAAGGTTTCCTTCCAACATCACGTCCTCTGGCTCTTCTCTCCCCTGCAGCTCCGAATGGCCTGGCTCATCCGTGGCGCCTTGCGGGGAAACGTCTCCCTGGTGCTGGTGGAGAACAAAACCGGGAGTGAGCAGAGCAGGGTGGTCTGGCACGTGGCCGCCGCCGAAGGCTTGAGCCTGTGGCAGTGGACGGTGCTGCCTCTCCTGGACGTCGCCGACAGGTGGGCCTCCCCCGTCCCCACTGCCCCCTTCTCCTCTCCCAGCCAGACCGCAGAAGGGAGCCTCGTCTTCCCTCCCCCGTCCTCTCTACCCGGGACACACACACACACACGTACAGGCACACATGTGTACACGTGCGCGCGCACACACACGAACACCCGCACACTGTCTGCAGGCTCACAGAGAGGAAGGACCACGGGATGTCGGTGCTGACGAGCATTCTCCTCCCCCGCCTCTGGCCTGGCCTGGCCTGCCTGCCTGCCTCCAACATCGGTAGGAAGGAGTAACATGAAGCAACTCGTGTCGCTCCCAAGTAATCATCGGGCTTTACATGTACACAGCATTTTCTCTTATTAATGGGTTTTCCTTACTTTTGCATTTGACTACTTATTCCTTAACTAACAAAACCTGCCGTGCAGGTGTGACAGGCTTGCCCTGCTCCCCACTCCTGCCCCTCTTACGGGGGAAGGAACTGGGAACCACCGGGGTGCAGCACCCGCGGGCTGGCCCCAGAATGAGGACCGGCATGCAGGTCGGTCAGAGTCTGGTGCTCTGTGGGGTCTGGTCCCCTAGGTGGGTGACACATTCTTCCGTAAACAGAGGAGTGCTTCCGCTGAGGCCTTGCTTCCTGATTAGAGTCTATCACTAATGCCCTTTTTGACCTTGAACTTCTCCTGGTCTCAGTTTCTTCATCTTTAAACTGCTAGGGTTAGACCAGAGGGTCATTAAGTCCATGCGGCTCTGAAATGGAGCAGCAACCCCAGAGCTCAGCGGCCACCCGTCTCCCTGGGATGGCACCAGGCTGCCACCTGCAGCTGGCCTGGGCCAAGCAGCACCTGAGTAAAGACGGCCCGGCACAGCCGCTCATGTGACACTCGGAATGTCACAGTGAACCTAGTGGTGGGGCTGATCTGTTCCACATCCGAAAGAGGCAGGCTGTTATTTCTGTAAAGGGGACAGCTGAATGGACCTGGAAAGGTAAAAGCCATCTTTAGTAGGCTAAATAGCAAACCCTGCGGTCTATCCAGAGCAGCCTCTTCATTCGACTCCTGAAATACATTTAAATTGCATCCTGGTGGATCCACCTTCAAAAAATGAGAGGAGAGGGCTCGAAGCGAAGCAGAGGATGATTTCAGTGGGCACAGAGCTTCATAAATGGAAACTGGGTCTCAGATTCTGCACCCAAACTTCACAGAGTCTGTTATTTCCAGAGCTCCCAAGTCAGGCTCTGCTGTCAGAGGAAGAAAGCACGGCCCTCACTCCCAGCACCAGCTCCCGGCTCCTTCGATGTCCGCGGGTTAAAGATCAAAGCCTTCGGACATGCCAGGGCTCAGTGGGCCCAGGACAAATGGATTTAATTAGAGCGAGGGAAGGGGCAGTGCGGGCACTCCCCACCGTCCACTGGTCTCCTGTCCTGCGGGACCGCCGGGGCTGTGCGCCGGGGCTGGAGATCAGGAGGACGATGCCAGAGCCTTCCCTGCTGGGAGATGTTAAATTAATTCAGATGAATCAAAGGGGTTTTTTCTCCTCGACCCAGCAGTAACCACTCCAGGGGATTTCACGACAAGTAAGACGTTGACTCGGTGCGCTCCCCTACACTGGAGTTTGGTGGGAAGGAGGCTCTGTTCTCGGCCTCCCCCCTCCTTGTTCAGGGCTGTTTACCACGCTGACATTGCCAATATTGATGAGAGCAAACTCTCCGGCGGGGATTCAGACAAAGGCCAGCTTGGTCTGAGGATGCCTCGAGACCTGACAAGTGTGAGCTCACAGACCATGCGAGTGCCCCTATTCCCGGGGAGCCTGCACACCACGCACATGCTCTGATGTGGGGAGCTGCACCCCCCCCCCACACACACACACACTCCCAGCCCACAGCCGGAGACGACAGGGGAAGCATCAAGGCCCAGAGGCAAATGGAACTGCAGAGGGATGAGGCCAGGGGCTCTCCCTCGCTACAGTCCAGCTAGACTATAGATGTGACTGGCCCATCAGATGAAGAAAAGCATTGTGGGTAAAAGAGAAAATCCCAGGTTTAAAAACTGGCTCAGCCACTTAGTAGTCATGTGACCTCAGCCAATTACCGAGCCTCTCTCAGCCTCAGTGTTTACATCTATAAAATGAGTATAACACCATAGGACGATTATAACATCATGCGATTATTATAAGACTAAATAAATGACTATAAAGGCATCCATATAGAGAAGATCTCGATGAATTTTATTTCCCATGACCTCTGTTCTCATCCCTAACTTATGTAACTTCAGATGATTTGCTGAATAAAATAGCACAAATCACAACCACTAATCTTCCAAGTCAAGCCATGTTCTATAAAAGAGCAATAATAGCATCTACCTCTTAGGGGCCTGGGGAAAGAAAGTGCTTGGGGAACTGCCTGGCCCCCAGTAAGTGCTCAGTCAGTAATCCATCATCATCCTCATCTCCCCACCTAATGCCTCAGAAGAGGCTGGGAAGACCAATTTTGCAATAATAACCCGTGACCCAGCCCTAAGATGAAATGAGGGTTCTCACGAGTTAGCTGTCACCAATTCTCTGTAGGTTCCCCATAATGGTAAGCCTCTGATGGAGGAAAACCGAGAGGCACAGTCTTCCCACTTTCTTCCAGGGAACGTGAGCTACAGCTGCCCGATTTGCCAGAAAATGAAAATGGGAGGAGGGAGAAGGTAAAGGGAGGACATAAAAAGAGAATGAGAAAGAGAAAATAGATAAAAGACCAAGAAAGACCAGCAGCCCCCTTCCTCCTGACCCTGAGGCAGGAGTGTGCACCTTGCACCAGCTGTCCGCATCCTGTGACGCTTCCTTAGGCGGGTCCTGGCTTAGTTCATCAGCACCCAACTCCTGGACAGCTCCCCAGCCGGGGACCTGGAAGAGGCAAGACCTTCCTTCAGTCCCTGTGCTGTCTTCCAATCAGCTCTGCTGCCAGGCGCCCCAACTGCCGCACCTCAGCCAGTTTGTTAAAGCAACTTGACCAGGGTTCACACGTTGGCTCTAAAGAGCTCCCAGACCCCAGACGCTGGACATGACGTGAAACTAGCTGAGGCCATCATTCCTTCGCCTCGGTGTGGCCGTGACCTCCAGTTTGTCTGTCCCCTTGCCCCCATTTTGTTCCCCACCCATTACTTTCTGAAATGTGAGTCTACACATTTTCCTGTCCTACAAATCCTTCAATGGCTTCCCGTGGTGTTAGGGTGCCTTTCAAACTCCTCTAGAGTGTTCCTTATTTGGGCCCACGTGTTACCTGTCCCATACTAACTTCACCACCCCATTTTTACACCATTCTTCCCCTAGTATTCTACCTGGTAACCTCACTGCTCTTCTTTCAGCTCAGCTGTGCCATCCTCAATCCTTGCTTCCGGGCTCTGGTACCTGCCCTTCTCTTTACCTGCAATGTTCTTCTTGTACCTTTCACCATCCCGGCTACCATTCTTCCTTCGCCTTTCAAAGAAGCCTTCCTAGACCATATAGTAAACCTACAGTATATTCTCATGGCCTTATAATAACTTGTCATATTTCATTATCCATTTTTTAAATATCTGAGTATATACCAATAAGGGAGAAATCAGACCTGTCTTCTGTATTACTGTTTCCTGAACATTAATAACACACAGTATGCCTAATATGTGTTGACAGAATGAATTGAGGCAAATTGCATACTTCCAAATTCTAGGTGAATGAACAGAATTTCCCCATCAAAACCCTTTTACCATTCCTCCCCTGTTCACCCTGTGTCTAACAAAACACACAGTGAGAACGAATACTACTGCAAAGCGTGCTGCAAATCAACACCATACCAGTGTCCCCTTGGAGGAACCCCGTCCCCCTAAATCGCATCTGTTACTCTTGGGACAACAAGTGCCCCCTAGAGACTTGCCTGGTACCTGTGCTTTCTAGGTCTCTGGTCACTGTCCTGTCAGAGTCTCTTTCCATGAGAGACTTTGGTCTTAATCGTGTGCCCCAGTCCTTGTGAGCAGGCAGCTTACAGCTGAGCACTTGAGAGCAGAGAGCTGTACCCAGACTGCTGCCGCCACGCCTTGGCCCTCTCGCGAAGACTCCAGCTCTGCCGCAGCTGTGTGTCAGAGGGCTGAGGACAGACAGACACGGGTCCACGGCACGGTATTTCTTCCATCCACATACACACAGCCGAAGCGATAGAAATAATGTCATAGTCTGTCCTCACTGTGAGATGATATTAACTGTACAGCTACACTATACGGGGTGACAAGAAACATCTCCAAGAGCAGTGCCCAAGACGCTTGAGCAGTGGCAACATCCCTGTAATACAGATGCGTGCCCTCAAGGTCCTTTCGAAGGACAGCGCCCATCCAAATATTGGCGTGAGGTATGCTCACACGCCCTCTCACGGCTCCACACCCTCCTGCCCTGACTAGTTTTCTTCCTTTTCTCCCCACTCTGTCATCTCCCCCCCACACACACACACTCCGTTGCCACTCTTTCTGTTGGGATTCATTCTTTCCTTTTCTTAAAATGGGAGAAAGGCACGTTCTCTCCCTTTATTGTCAGTATCAGTCTGTTGCAGGGACATACTCCACGTTTTGCTCTTTATAATCGTATATCTTACTAAATGAAACACGATGTTCCCACACCGCTCTAAACTTTGATATGCTTAAAGAGCAGAAGCAGATGCTAAGTTCGACTCATTACAAGATGGATTTGGGAGCACCATGGATCAAATCATGTCCCACAAATCACCGCCGTCGTGCAGCCAAAGAGAAAGCTCGAAACCCATCACGTGTGTGCAGGCTGTTCCCCAGCGCTGTCATTATGGAGGCTTTTAGCTGTGCACTGTACACCACATCTAACGAGAAAAAATGTCCCCTCTGGAGATATTTAGATTTCCTGTTCCATTT